AATTTTGACCTTTACTCGGCACTCAGGACCATTGAGCAGTGAGGGATCTTGATCGTGCTAACACCTGCCGTGACACGGGGCCTCTGTTTTTAAGGTCTCATCCGAAGGACCCGCAACTTTCACTTTAAAGTGCCGAGCGCATGGCGAAGGAACAGTTGCTACCAGTTTTTTTTATCGACTCAGATTAGTCGCGGCCGAGATTCGAACTCACGACCTCCCAATCACGGAGCAAGTGCTCTACCGACTGAGCTACCATGAACGGTCATTACATAGTAAAAAGTTAAGTTCAAATCGTGATCCCCGGCTAGGACTGGACCATATTAGGCAGTCAAAGTTTTACACAGAAATATAAAGCTTTAAAAATCTAATTCCTTGAAACAGCAAAGCTTAGATTTTTCACATACATGTAAATATGGAAGCTTCCTCTGATAGTGTTGATTCAATTTTGTTCAAATCATGACCTCCTTGGTTAGGGACGGGTCCACAAGAGGCAATCAAACTTTTATATAAGAATCTAAAATGAAAAAGTCTTTAAAATTCTTCTCTAGCGACCAGCGAGATCGGAAGGTCGTAGGTTCAAATCCAGACCGCGACTGACCTAAGTTGATTAAAAAAACGGTAGCAACTGTTCCTTCGCCAAGTGCTCGGTACTTTGAAATGAAAGTTGCAGGCTTTTGGACGAGACCTTAGAAACAGAGGCCCTGTGTCACCGAGGGCGTTGGCACGATAAAGATCACTCATTCCACAATGACCCTGAGTGCCGAGTAAAGGTCTAAATTTGAAGCCCTTCACCGGTATATGGTGACGCCTTTATATGACTGAAAAATTATTGAATTGGTCGTAAGACAACAATCAATCAATAAATCTAAAGAACAGCAAATCCATGATAAGGCAAATTAATATGGAAGCAACATCAGGGAGTTTAGTTTCAAGTTGTTCAAATTATGACTCCTTTAGCAAAGGCGTGGTCACAATAGTCTATCAATGTTTTAAATAGGAATAAATAGGGAAAAATCTTCCTCTTAAGAACAGCAAGGCCTTAATAATTCATATTTCTATGTAATATACAAGTGTATATACAAGTTTGTTCGAATCATCTTCTCCAAGGCTAGGTTGGGGCAACAATAAGCAGTCAATGTTCGAAATGGGAATAAAAATGTTTTTCAGTTGTTCAAATCTTGACCCTTGGGGAGAGGATGTTCAAAGATATGAGATCAAAGTTTTCTGTTGGAATATCAATGATAAATCTTTTGTTTGTTTTTAATTAAAAGAAAAGTCATGATAAATGAAATGCAAGCATCCTAAAGAACTAAAGATTCAAGTGTGTTCATGATCAGGTCAGGGCCGTCCGAAATAGATTAAGACTACATATGGGGAGCAGAGTTTTACAAGGAAGTACATAAGATGAAATCCTTAAAAATTAGTTTCAAATCACACTTAATTTTATTGACAAGCAAAACAGAACTAAGATATGTCGTGTTCATAATTAAATCATGCGCCCTGGAGTTAAAGTTCAGACGTTCTACATAATACATATGTACAAGAAAAAAAATCGTCTACAAAACAGCAGGACCATGTTGATCATATTGATATTGAAGCATTCCAATGTTGTGTTGATTTCACTTTAATGAAGTGATTGATATAAAAACAATACAAACAATACAAATCTGTGAAGAGGGCATAAAACTCGGACCCCTGGAAATTCCAGAGGTGGGATCAGGAGCCTGAGAGGAGTAAGCATCCCTTGTTGACCAGTCACATCCGTCTTGAGCCCTGTTTATTCATTATGTAGATGGAACAATATGTAGTCAAACGCAGTATAAAAACAAAGTTCTAACACTGGTATGAAACACGTCAACCAAAATACGACGATATGATAGGTTATATTTGCTAACAAGGTCATTATAACGACAATGGAATTTATAAAATGCTGACTTTAAACACGGTTGTTGAAATCCCTGTAACATCAACTTATCTGTCAGTAGCCTGCTTTGGTTTGATTTTATTCAGAGCATGCTCTTGAGTATCAAATAAGTTGGGAGATGTAAATACCATTGCAGATGATAGCGGGATATTACTAAATAAATAAGGAAAGTTGATAATGGAAAGCTCAAGTCATCTCATCTCGTTTGTCATACAATATATTTGTTAGTTGACCCTTATCGTCTATAGTCAGTAAAACATCAAAATATGAAACAGATTTGGCAGACTCTGTGGTGTCTTTTATTTCAAGTTCACTGGAATATATGGAGTCGACATATGAATGGAAGCAACTATTGTTAATTGATAATATGTCGTAGATATATCTAAATGTCGAGTTGAAGGCTACAGCATGTAGAAGTTCTTGAATAAATTTTCCTTCATAGGAATATAAAACAGGTCAACTAATAAAGGAGCACAATAATGCCCATCGTAATTCCAACAGTTTGTTGGAAGACCTGGTCTCCGAAAATTACATAAATGAATTTTAAGGTTTACTTAAAATAATTTATGTACATTGGAATGCTCTGCGTATAATAAGAATTATCGCGCTTGCATTATCCTTGGAAGTTTTTGGCGTGTCCAAATTAGGAGAGGCAAATGCAAGTGATTCTTGGAAATGAAAACATTTAGTAAATGCCCAATGAAAATCATGCGCGGTAAAAATCTGGACCCGGTCGTCCAGATAGCGTCGTTTTTCAGTTTCTTTTAGGACGCCGTGAAAAGTACATGTGTGTTGGATAGCTTCAAATTATTTTAAGTGGTAAGGTTACACTTTTGTTTTTTCCTCATACAATTTAATTGTTTTATTTGTCTAACAAATTTTTCGAAGATTAAGTACGTAATATTTTAATATGTTACTGATATTAATAATTGCTATCCAATGCCATTGTTATTTTGTATACTATTTTGCATACGTGGACAACTCGATGCTGTAGAATTAAAAAAAAAAAAAACTGACCGATAATCGCCATTATAGTAGCGATGGTAAGCCTGACTGTAGGAAACGTTTATATTATGTTTTCATTCTTAAAAAATAATAACAATATTGATAATTTATTTTGCTTTCATGAACAATGACTTAGTTAAATTTAATTTGGTAATAAAGAATTTCTATTAGACGGCGTCCGTTTTCGATTATCTATGTTGAAGCCTTTGTGGCCACGTATGTTTTACATGTGTAGGTCAACATGACCTCACTGCTGTAACTGCAGAAAAGATAAATCATTTTGGACAACTGAAGCCATTCCTATGCTATCTAAAGTGTACAAGGTTTCAACTTTTGTCCGATATAGATTAGAAATGCAAAATGCAGAAATAATAATGACTTATATATATATATATACCAGTTAATATGTATACTAGACGTACATGTATAAAAATATATATATTAAAAAAAAGCTAAGAAATTTTTGTTTGATACGATGACCCAGTTCTGAAAATGATTATAAACTTTGCTTGTTTCTGATAATCAAGATTCTCTCATTTCCGTGTTGAAATTTTTTTTATTCAATTTACTTATTCAATTAATAAATTAATTTGTTTACTTATTTAGTAAGTCATTGATTGATCTATTTAAATTTATTATTTATTTATTTTTTATTTCTTACTTATTTTACCTCATTGGGATCAACACAAGTGTGTGTGTGTGTGTGAGGGTGTGTGTGTGTGTGTGTGTGTGAGGGTGTGTTTGTAAACCCTGTCAATTGGACACGTGCTTTAGACGGCACACGTTTAAATGAACAGGGAAAAATCCAAATGAACACGAAATGGTGGTGTTCAGTTGGATTTTATCATAAATCAACTGGAAAATGTCCTAGGATGCATCCCATTTTAAAAAAATGAAGTGTTAATTTGACCGGATGCATGAGATCTGTGTAATGAGTGTGTATAAGATGACCACGGATCCATCATTTTTTCTTCTCGGCGAGACTTACACACATTGCGAGTGCGCATGCTCGTTACATCAAATGACGTCGTAAATGACATCATAATACAGTACCCGTTTCACACTTAGTCATGTACATGAGGACGAAGTAAACTTTGTAAAAGGTAAGTAAAAAATCTGTAAATAAATAAATGAAAAATTTTATGTATTAAATATGGCCTATGAATTAATGAGTAAAGATATGTGTCCATTATGACATTACGGCATTATTGTCTACTCAATATTTTTCCTACGGTATGTATACATGTATATGCTGTATAGTTACAATGTGCATCGTTGCATGATTGCAGTATAAATGGTTTTAACCAATATACTAAAAGTTATTATTATTAATGTTAGTAAAAACATAAAGAAATTTTTTTCTATATCTACATGTATGTCTCTGGGAAAATAAACACGTTCCGTATTGGCATTTGTTGTACTCGCGGAGAGAAACTATTTCTGCATCTAATATTTCAATTTTATTAAATCAACGTTGATCTTTTGCAATGTGTAGCAAAATATATTGTCAAAAATTTTAAATGTTTTCTTGCGTTTCGCATCTTGTTTATGTGTCATGTCAAGTTCGAAGGTTTCGTATTAAAAACGAAAGTAGAGTCGGTCACGCGGAAAAACACCTACATAACCTTATACATGGGCGCAGACATTTTGGACATCCAAAGTTGTGCGGAGAAGAAAATGCTACACGGCACATAATTGGTCATTAAGAGAAAAGACTTGTTATGTATTTGACAAGTGAAATAAAGGTGATAAAAATCTCATATCAAGACTTAGGCTTCTTTGAGATATGTAGGAGTTACAGGTAAAAATTTGAAGGGAGGGGTGCACTTTGGTTAGAGATTTTCATTTGGTGCTGAACACACCTAGTTGTAAACAAATGGAATTTGAAAGTAAAAGTGCAACGGCACGGTATATTTTTTCTGGCATGTTTTGTTTTGCTAGATCTTGAACTTTCACGGCAAGAAAGTTATTTGCCCAAAATTGAATATATGAATCAGTGACAGGGGCTCAACTTTGTATGGAAGTCTATGGGAAAACATTTGGTGGTGTTTGTCCACGCCATGTGTTATGGGCAGGGGAAACGTTCAGTCTGCCTGGGTTATATATAGGTACGTGGGCTACTAAAATCATTGTTAATATTGTGTACACATTAAGCTGTCAACTAAAAAAACACATGTACTTCTGAGGCGTGAATATTAGAAATAATTTCTGCACATTTAAATTATGAAAGGGGAGGGGGGGGGGGCAGCTGTTTACTTCTCCCAGGGACATAATGATATAATTGTTAAGCATGTATAGGTCCCTGCGTCAACGTGATCTTCTAGCCCTGACAAACTGAAGATATAGTGCAGCTTATAATATAAGTTGATATTTATGTCAAAGACATGCTGTGCATTTAGACAGTGACATGCCTTAATTTTAATGTACAAAGATTTCAAAGTATGAGAATTTAAACATTGATACTTGTCATTTTATTGACATGCACTCATTATTGCATTGGGACAATTTTGAGAGAATATGTAAATATAGCTGTGACAGGGACCTATATACTAGTATATAGGTCCCTGACTGTGATGATTCATGAAAATGATGCGACTTCTACTAAGTTACAGTCATTAAAGAATATTTTCCTATTTATTTATCATCCTGGAATTCATGTTTTAAAACTGATGTTATTATTATAATACATTTCAGGTAGATTCATTGATTTCGGATCAGAAAATTATCAATGTTCATGGATTCCCAGAACACAGCAGGGAGAAGTTTATGGTATGAATGCAATTATATAATATTCATTCATTTAATAGTATAATTAATTTAAGCTACATGTCAGGAAAAAAACAAACACTACCTGAAGTTCTAATGATCTGAGTTCATGTTCATGATAATGTGTTTGTGTATCAGCATGATCTGTATACCTTTTCCTGCATTGTTTCATACTACAGTCATGAATCAGTGTTTTACATGTAATATTTATTTACCTTAATGACAGTCTGTTGGCCCAAGACCGGCAAATATTTGGGAGGATCAATAAATTTAAAATTAAGTCTGTATGTTATCAGTTAATTGTGCCAGTATAAAAAAATTAAAGGTTCAGTTTAAAGGACAAAGATGGAACTTCACCAGTGATACATGTAGTCCAGATAAAGAGTAAAATAAAATTATTTAAATGGGATATTTAAAAAAAAGATGTTTGCAACTGACAGTCATACCAATAATTTTCATTATTTAGCTATTTTCCATAATAAACAGGACAGATAATTAATACTACACCATTGGCCATTGTTGTCATTGGGGTATACCATGTAATGTATTAATATATTAAACAAATAAGAACTACTATAAATTCTCTTTTATTGTGTGCACACTTTTATTTTCAGCAAAAAAAAAAAAAAACAAAAACAAAAAAACAAAAAAAAAAACAAAAAAACAAAGAAGGAGGGATACACACTTATACATGTATTTATTGGGGTATAATGCAACCACTGAAATTCAAAATGAAGAGATTTACTTCCATTCAGGGATTTAAAAAAAAAAATAAATGAAAATTAAGATTTTCCAAATGCAGAGAATACAAGTATGTTATATGGAATTATGATTGAACATTTACAAATATTCAAAATCCTTCAAAAGTTTTCTGTCATCAAGGGTGTACATCATAGAGACATAAATAACAGAGATTTGCAGCTGTTTGAAATCTTGCAGTTTTTTTTAACTCACTCCCACTCTAACATGAGGCACTGGAAAATGCAGGGAAAAGTCATTTTTGTTTTTTTTTTGAATATGGGATTAATTATGCATAAATTAGTGAAGCTAACATTGGCATTATGTAAAACTGGATCTATTAGCAATTACCGGTAGAATAAAAAAATCAAAAATTTCAACAGGTTTTATGATTTTTCCCCTCAAAGTAATAAAAAATGTAATCACACTAGATGACTCTGCTCACTTATTTACATTATCAATAGAAAGGCCAGAGAAGCTACATTTTATATATATACAATACATGTATATGCTTTTAAAGCAGAAACATTCCTTTATTTCGACAGTTGTTCATTGTTAACCATAATTGTTAACATTATCTATTCAACGAAATTAAATCCCACATGAAATTTTACATTTCAGTATAATGAGTAGGGTTACATTCGTAACAACGAAATTTAATGCCCACAAAACCTTCTCAGATAACAAATAACAAAATTTTATCCCCACGAAAATTTGTGCTTCTACAGTATATAATCAACACCTTAATGCGAGTAAAACTTACAGCAGATGCATTTAGTATTTTTAAGTGCAGTGACTGGAAAAGCACAGTAATTACTCAGACCAAAGTCAACTTAAATCATTATTTAGTGTTAAGGAACAAGTTGTTTGTAAGTGTATTAAAAATACTAAACAAGACAATAAAAGACAAGACAATAACAACAAAAAATATAAGGGGCCTCATAATCTTTTAGAGGGAATCATTATTAATTAATGTTTGATATCGATTGACTGGCAGACCCTGTAAACCTGAGTGATCAATTATGTTAAGAGAAGTTTGTTAATAAAGAGTATCTGTTACCACTTAAACCAGATATTAAAATTTCATTTAAAAGGTAAACATGTTGTTGATAGTGAACAAGTCTGTGTGCCAAGAATATTATATGTAATTTCAAATGAACAAGAAATGTTATCATCTGTGTATTACTTAGATTGCATAAATTAAGCTCTCTGTATATATTTTTGATGGAATTAGAAGAAATCTGAAAGATTGTAACCCCTTCCCAATTTTTTACCCTCCATGATTATTTTAATTTCAGTTTTCACATACAAATCAATTACACTCTATGTCAATTTTAAATTATATTCCACTTGAATATACTGTACACCAAAGAGCTCTGATTTTATGGTATTTTATGGAGATAGAGACTAATTCGCCCTGGGGTCTAAATCAAATTTAATAAATCTATTGAAATCCTAGCAGTCTGTTATTGAATTTTAGTTAATGCAAGCATTCTTAACAATTGAATAAGAAAATCATATTATATAAAGGCATACATAATGAGCTAATCAGATCTACTTTACTTTCTTGAATTTCAACATGTTCAGCATAGGGTACATTACACCCTAAGAAAAATATTCAAAGACATTAAAGTATTGATGAACAGAAATCTCTACACATTGTTTATTTAAGTGAGAAAACACATGCAAATAAAGTATTCAATTTATTTATCTTGGACTAAAAACATTTTTGATTTAGTGTATAGAGGGTCCTTAACAGTCCTTTAATTGTCTTTAGTCTAATCGGGATCGGTATTCAACTTAACATTCACTTTCATTTTAATCATGCGAATGTGATTTTGACAGCTGAAAAGAATATGTATTAACTGGTTGTGAAACTTTGTTGAGGGTGTACAGTATGAGATATGTACATTTTATGTCGTCTTCACAAGGAGGGTTTAATTCGAATTGAACGTAAGTTAATACAAATTAAATTTGAACCACATTCACATGGAGAATTTATGCAAATAAGTTAATTCAAATTAATTTACTGCGCATCAAATTTCTTTGCATTAACTCCGTGTGAACACTAAGCAAAGCAATAATTAGAATTAAATTTTGATGCATGCGTAATATAGCACGATTACATGTAAGCCACATGCCATATGTTTGTGGTCAGGTACATTATTTACATGATTAAATACAATGAAACAAATGAAAGCCACCAGTCCTCCTCAATGTTTGGAAATATAGGATTTTTCTTAATATGATGACCTGAAGTTGAAAATACACTGTTTTATAAATAACTATATTTTGTATTTCCTGTCCTATACATACTAACGGTACATTACTAGATATATTATGTATAATGATATACTGATGATGCTTTATCAATGGATAGTAATTATTCATTTTTATTCCTACATTAACTTATTCAGGTGTGACCGGTTAACAGAGGATGCTTACTCCTCCTAGACATCTGATCCCACCTCTGGAATTTCCAGAGGGTCCTTGTTTTTTGCCAGGCACTTCACAGATTTGTATTGCTTATAGATTTTCTTAGATTGATCACTATTCATTATATTTAATTTTTTTCATTCACATGTATATCTCTTTGAACTCAAAATTGAAGACACCACAGAGGCTTATACATCTGTTTCATATTTGAATATTTTACTAAAGACATTAATGGCAAGGTAACAATTAAACTTTATGATAAACACGTAACTTTAATTTTTCTATTATTAACTTCTCTTACTTATGTAGCATTATCACCTGCATATGGAGTTTAAGTCTCCCATTTGATTCAGAGGGCAAGAGCATGTGTACCAAGTACAAACAATAACTAAAATGAGGCAAGCTATTGGCAAATAAGTTGATGATACAGGTATAGCCAACATTTTGCAAATTCTGTGTTTGTTACAATGACCTTGTTAACAAATACAGTCTACAGATAAGTCAAGTGTTTACTGATGTTTTCATACAGAAATTGTTAGGCTGTTATTTTCATACTGAAGTGTCTACAGATTTATCCATTCACCCTATTATGACAAGGAGCTCACAGCAGGTGTAACTAGTTGACAGGGGATGCTTATTCCTCCATGATAACTCATCCCACCTCTTTTGAGCTTGAATACTGTTTGTAATCTTGATATTTCATTAAAGGTCTTCAACATTCTAATAGATGGGAATCACTTTATCTTTTCAGTTATGAACATTTCTTAGCAACAAACCCTGTAAGAAGAAGGACGTCTGTTCTACAGCTTGTGGTGGATTATAGAACACATGATATCAACCAAGTTTAAAGGAAGCATGTATAGCCACATTAGAAAGATTTAAGGATTGTGAGAAACCAAATATGACAAATCAGAATAACTTCCATGGGAGTGTGAAAAAAAAGAATAGTAGAGTGTAATCCTCAGGACTTTCTTCAGACTTCCATAAAGTCAGGAAATACTGTTGAACTGACAAAATTAACAAAAATCATGATTGTCAAAAATTCAAGGAAGATGTGCAAGTTAAGACTAAGACGGATTTTAGGAGTTTTGATGACAAAGAATCAACCTTTGGAAATATGGCTTTAAACTTGGATCTCTTTATTGGTAATTGAATTAAACATTTATCTTGATTGTTATTAACCTAACAATTATGATTACTACCATTTAATTTTAACTAATTTTTACATGTAGTTTCTCTCATTGATTTTTTTAAATACATATATTTTCAATTTTCATGAAAGCTAAAGGACAAGGTGCATGTATGACTTGACACCCCCTCCCTCTTTTTGAGTTTTTAGCTCACCTGAGATGAAAGCTCAAATGAGCTTTTCTGATCACATGTCTGTCCGTCCATCTGTAAACTTTTCACATTTTCAACTTCTTCTCAAGAACCACTTGGCCAAATTTAAGCAAAGTACAAAACATTCTTGAGTAAAGGGGATTCTAAATTGTTAAAATGAAGGGCCAATTTCCCTTCCAAGGGGAGATAATCAGGAAAATGCAAATAGGGTGGGGTCATTGTAACATCTTTTTTCAAGAAGCAATGAGACAGAAAAGCTGAAACTTATATGGAAGCTTCCTGAGGTAGTGTAGATTCTAAATTATTTAAATCTTGCCACTGGGGGGGGGGGGCACGATGGGGCCACAATACTTACTTACTTATAGGAAAAATCTTTAGATATCTCCTTCTCAAGAACCACTGTGGCAGAAAAGCTGAAACTTATATAAATGCTGCCTAAGGAATTGTAGATGATGAATTGTTCAGATCATGGCCCCTGGGGGTAAGGTGAGGCCTCAATAGGGAATGGATGTTTTACATTGAAATATATAGGAAAAAAAAATCTTTAAAAATCTTCTTCTCAAGACTACTGGACTAGTAAAGATAAAATGTAGTTGAAAGCTTCCTGAGGTAGTGTAGATTGTAAATTGTTCAAAACATGTCCCCCGGGGGTAGGGTGGGGCACAATAGGGGATCAAACTTTTACATTGAAATATATAGGAAAAAAATTAAATTATCTTCTTCTCAAAAAATATTGGACTAGAAAAGATGAAAATTAGGTGCAAGCTTTCTGGGGCACAATATAGGGATTATATTGGGTAAATCTTTAAAACGCTTAATTCTTCTCAAGAACAACAAAGCCATGATGAATCATATTAATGTGGAAGCATCCTCTGGTAGCGTAGATTCATTTTTTTTAACAAATAATGGCCACTATATATATGATGGGGCCACAAAATATAATCAAAATTTTACATAGAAATACATGTATATTGGGGGAAAACCTGTTGCAGAACAGCAGGGCCAAAGTGACTCAGGTGAGTGTTGTGGCCCATAGGCCTCTTGTTTTGTTGTCAGCCCCTAGCTTTGCTTTGAATCTAATCTCATAAATGCTTTCTCATTCAAAAATTACAAAGTCTAGAGTAAAGATTCATTGAGTTAAAAGTAGGGATGAGTATCGAAATGCAAAAAAAAATTAATCATGACAATATTTTGACTTAATTGTGTTTTATGATATATATTGATGCATATCACTTTTTTTTTTACTTCTGTTCTACGTGTTCTACTGTAGAATATAAAAAATCATAAAAGTTTTCACTGTAAAATTGTTAGGAATAAATGCATTCTTCAATCATTATGAAATAAGGTTTGTTTATAAGGCCAAATAAAAAAATATGTGTGGTTCCGGTTACCCGACCTTCCCTATTTTATACCCCCGACCCTAACTTTTTTTTTGGCAATTTTCATATTTTTTCCGGAATTTTGATTTCCATCAATGGCTCCAGTTTAAGTTTTAGTTTCAGCAATGACGGCCTCCTTGCAAAACATATTGCAAGTGTTTAATAGTGTTAAATCCAAAGCAAGCTAGCATATAGGTGTCCCCGACCAATATTGACTAGTATATTATCACACCACATCTAAATGCCATTTGCAAAGCAGTGATAGGTATTATTTAGAAAAAAATTAAGAAAATCATTTTGTTAAAAAAAAAAAAAATCAAAAAAAAAATCCCTACCTACCTACCCTAATTTTTTTGGAAGTGTAACCGGAACCACACATATTTTTTTGTTTGGCCTAAATATAATTTATAGAATAATTAATACAAAATTCTATATCTCAAAACAAAAACAAACAAAAAAAAAACCAAAAAAAAAGAAATTACATTTTGTAAAGTACAGTGTACTTTACGATGACTTGAATTCTTTTCTAATTTTTAAATTGACAAATAAAAAAAAGAGTTAAGATTATTTATTGCTTTTAACTGGAAACCAACTTCAGTTGAAAGGTATCTCCATACATGTATTATTAACTGGTATAACAATACACCCCTAATTAAAAGACTATGTGTGACAAATAAAGGACATATAGATTTAATGAATTTATAATTGCAATAAAATCATTAGATACTTTTAGATAAAATCTGTTAAAAGCAGACATGTCAGTTAATTTTGTAAATTTAACCGATAAGAGGGATATGCTGAAGACATTAAGTGTATATGTAGACAACATATTTAAACAAGAGTACATGTTTCAAGGAACACATGTGTCACCTGCTTTGTAGTTTCATTTCAGGTGTAAACAAATCTATGAGTGCATGGTCAGCTTTTTACTTAATTACTATATATAAAGTATGATAAACTGATAGTTCATGCATTTGCCTGTAAAAAAAAAAAAGACATACATGGATTAAGTATACGACTGCAATAGAATCTGACAATCAAAGAAAATATGGTTCCTTAACCCTCAAAGACATGTCAAATAAACATTTAAATTTGAATTTATTAGAAATAACTATTTATCATTTTATTAATTGTTTCCAACAATCCTCCAAAAGATTTCAGTCTGTCTTTACTGCAACCATTGTCAGTCTTCACGATCCATTGTTGAATACTGATCCCGATGTATTTTTATGGTATTTTGAATACATGTATAAGTTTGTGTGGTATCAGAATATTATACAGTTTCAAAGTACTTTTTCATGAGCTAAACATGTTTCCAATAAGCATTCAAAAGAGATTTCAGTCTATCTTTACCATGTGTTTACTGCAAATCTTAGTCTACATGATCCATTGTGAAATACCCATCATGATTTATTTTCATAGTATTTGAATATATTAAAGTTTGTCTGGTAACTGAATATCATAGCCGGTTTCAAAGTACATAATCATGAGATCATGAACATATATTAATGCTAATTATCTAAACCCTGCCTCTCAAAATTCAATATTCATAAGTTTAAATAACTGCCCAAGATATTTTTTGCAAATTAGGTCAAATGTCAAGGTCAAGTGGATCGTAATGCTGATATTTTTTATATTGCCTTATGACAAATAGTATACATGCTAAATAGCATAGACTTACCTCTTAAATGTCAAATATATGTTGTATATCAGCACTATGAACTATTTTAAAGGTCAAGGTCAAAGGTCACAAGGTCGGTACCTCCATGATAATTTACAAAAGCTGTAGTGCCAAGCAATGTATGTGCAAAATATCAAATCCATACCTCTAACAGTTCTTGAGATATAGGGTGTGACAGACAGACGGACAGCTAGACACAGACAGATGCTTGGTAAAGTGATCCCTCAGTGCCGATCTGCAGGCGACACCGAATAGTGAATGAATTCTAGCAATGGACAGGCTTTCTACAGCGCAGTGTATATATGTGAAAACTTCCTACACACAATATTGTCATTAAAAAGCCCCTGCAACCTTTACATCTAATATTCTTGATAATTACTTTCTTCAAATTTTAATCTGCCATAGCAAGAATGATGCAAGTGATGAAAAATATTTGCTAAAAAGGATCAATTAAAATTTCTAATGTTTAAAAAAATGTTTTCTTTACTCTTTATTCATCATAATTTTATGTGAATCTAGTTTTAAATTTTATATTCTGTTTTAATCACCAAATGTAAGATTATCACTATTTAGAAAAAAAATTCTCAATTAAAATAAGTTGGGTCTTTTAACTTTTGAGGGGGTGTAAACTTCTTATTTTATTAGTCCCCTGTGGGTGAAACTGGAGGGGACTATAGGTTTTCTCCTTCACGGTCTAACTGTCAGTCTGTTCCATTTGGTTTTCCACACTTCTTTGTTTTATTACAGCTATGCTCTGAAAAGTGGGGTTTTCCTTTTAATTTATTTAGTAAGCATGTTCTACATGTTCTACATGTATATGACACATCATGTTCATGTACACATGTACTTAGGGATCAATATTTTTATGATGTTCATTTTTAAATTAATGAATAAACTACTGTTTTAGAGAGTCTTCAAAATATTTGCACACCGTATGTAATTATTTTAATCCCCTACCAGTGACACCGGAGGGGAGTATAGGTTTCCCCCTTATCTGTCCATCAGTCTGTCTGTCAGTCTTCGTCACTTGGTTTTCTGGATTTTTTTTTTCTAAACACTCGCAGATACATGTGTATTCAGCTGATTTTAAGTATATGTGAGTGTACCTGGATAAGTTACAGATCAAGTTTGCATTTCATTACACTTTGTTGATTTTTGACAGAATTATAGCCTTTGGGAACCAGATTACTGTGACTTGCCAGTAGGCTTATGCAATACTCTCAAGATGATTGTTATTTTGAAATTTATTTTCATTTACAAATAACAATTAACATATACATATAACAGTAGAATGTATAAGGATTACATTTAAAACAAAAATAGCACATCATAAGTACATGTACATTGTAGGGCAACATACAGTTTATAAAATGATAATGTATAAATATGCAGGAAGGATTTTATGATTGGAAGTGTTTTTTTTAAAACATGCTTTATTAAATGATCATTTAAATTTAATTTCAATATAGATGCATGCATGATGGTGGGCTGAAGAAGAAAACCAGGACAAATGAAAATTCCTAGTGTTCATCAGAAAAAATGATCGAATCATGCAGCCATTTTGAGTGCTTGAATGCCCAACTGAGAGAGCCAGCCAATGCGGAAAATATTTCTTGGAAGTTACACCAAATCTGCTGTGACAATTGAATTAAAGCTTTAAAAGTACATTTAAAAACATACTGCCTTAAAATTACATTTGTATATGGTGTAATTATTTCAAGGAGATACAACACACCTGGTTTAACAGTAAGGTCCATAGCTAAACATGGATATGGAATTTAGCTCACCTGATCCAAAGGCTCAATTGCAAAGGTTCAATTGCACAATTCTGATAAAAAGAAGTCTTTGGTGTCCAACAATGCATTATTTATATGTTTGAGTGTTTACCTCCATTAACTTTTAACATTTTCTAATTTTTTTTAACATTTGGTCAATGTAAACCACATTTGGTACAATGTATCTCAGCTTAAAAGGAGTTATAAAGCTTACTCAAATAAAGGGCTGCATCCTTTTCCAAGGGGAGATAATGAAGAAATATGAAAAATGGGATAATGTCAAAGACATTTAAAAACTTTCATTTTATGATCTATTTGGTCATATAAGACAAATGTTATCCAAGAGTTTTCTTAATGAGCATAGATTCAAGTTTTTTTCATTGCCCCTAAGGCAAGGGTAGAGCTGCAGAAGGGGTTATATGTTTTGCATAAAAATAGATATAAGTGAAAAACTAGCAGGGTGACATAAATCAAAGTCATATGCAAACATTACAACATCATATGGATTTAATTTTGTTCAAATTATAGACATTGGGGCTAAAAGTAAGGTTTTCATTTTGCATGTATCTATGTGTCAACATTTAAATTTGTTTAATTTATGGGCATTGGGGTTAGAAACGGACTGAAATTAGGGTTTAAATTGTACATGTATAGAAGTGTCAACATTTTTTATAGGAATATGGAGGGGGAAAATCTTTAAAAACAATCTTTTTAAGAACAGTAGACACAAAATGTCTCAGGCAAGCATTTTGGCTTTTGGCATCTTCAGTGTATTAGATTTTCATTCATATAATTTTAAGATCATAAAAGTACACCCTAGCTTTTCTGAAGAAACAAAGTGAGTTTAATTTTTTAAAATAATAAATGATTTTAATGGAAAAAGATGAATTAAGCCTAGTCATAAAGGTCCAGTTTTCATTTTGAAGTCTTTGTGAGGGTTTTTACTTATTTGAGAAGTAATTTGAATTTGTACTTGGTTGTGTGTGGCACATAATTATATCTGTGTAAACCAGTATATTATATGCAAATATTGTTCAGAATTAGTTGACTTATTAATGAAATTAATTGTAAAGATTCAAGTGATCCTTCTGGTCAGGTGTTTTTTTTATTACAAGTTCTTTTTTATCATTTTTTTTTAAAAGCAAATTTGAAAATATGTAAAGAGATAGGCATTATTTACTATTTATATTACAAGTCTCAGTGGAAGTAATGTTTGAGGTCCAAAATTGAAATATATCAGTCTGTTTTAATATTTGATCTCCTAGCCTAGCCCGTATTCTTCAATGTGATAAAATATTCTCATTATATAAATGAATTAATAAAGTAATAAAGTAAATTTGTATTCATTTTTATCAAATATCTATGTATATCTTAAAAGATTCTTTGTTTGCATTTGCAATATCCGGTAACATGCCTCAGGCTGGCCCTACCAAATCTAGGGACCAAAATGTGTCACTCTCCCTGCCACCGTCCTTTACAACTTGGAGTTTATGATGAACTAGTGAATTGTGTATGAAATTACGTATGACTTGGGGTGTGGTGAAGTTTGAGACTGTGATGGCTGGGGCCATGAGAGTTACTTTGTTCAAGGAAAAAACGCTACTGAAAGACACACGCTTGGGTTTTTCTACAATACAGAGTACTAAATTTCATGGGTGGTATTGAGGATATCAAATCTACATTCAATAAAGAAATCAGTGACAATGTTAAGCAACCTCAACTCCCCCCCCCCCCCGCTCCACATTTTGTGTACTTGTATGAGAATCCCCCCCCCCCCCCACTTTTTTTTTTCAAATTTCCACTTTGATGATACTGATGGAAGGGGTTAAGAAAAATAATATATTATTTAATAAGGTTGGATACAGGTGGTATTGAACCAGGGCTTTGGAGCACACTCCATTAAAGAAATTCTGGAAATATTTAAGGAACCTAAAACCAGTTTTCTTCCTTCTATTGATAGCACATTGCCGAGATCACAAATCCACAAAAGTTCTGTTCACTAAATTCAATTTTCATGCTACAAGAGTTGAAGTGTCTTGATTTTATTCCTTAGTAATAATTCATCATTTATTTATTCAAAATGAAAATAAAAAAATAATAATTTAGCACGAGTTTCAGTGCCCCTCCCCCCCCCCCCAAAAAAAAAAAAAAACTCATAAAGTTCAACGAATGAACGCATTATCTGAAGACTGGGTATAAAATTGTTGTCCTTCCTCTTTGTGTTTTATGTATGCATCAAGATCATATCCCAGTCACTGTGGTATTTAAGAAATTTTATGTAGTACAGTGTATGTAGATAACCACTACATGTACAACGTTGACTGGTGTAATTTCATGTGCACCATGTAGTTAAACCTATAATTACAAGATTGGTGAAATCATAGTGCACTTTTGAACGTCACAGAAATTCTTTTTTTGTGACCATGGCAACACCGTTCACTGAAATAAAAAAAGTGAAACAAAGAATTCTGTGTATCTTAGCGTACTCTACTTGTATATACCAAGTTTTATTTAAATCGGGCAAAATTAACTGTCGGAAGAGATACAAGAAGTCCACACTACCATTGCATAAAATCTTTCTACCATATAAAATCGACAAGTAGAGCTTAAAACTAATTCAATGCATGCTTTATTTTGATAGCATCAGTCACTTCTCTTTAAAGGAAGTACAAGTATTACTTGTCAATTTATTTGTATTTCTGGGAAGTTTTTTTTCAGTTTTACTACATTTTAATTTGAAGGGGAAAAAAACCCTGCTCGCCCGGGGACGCAAAACACAGCATTTATTTACTGTGGCCTAATGAAATGAGCTTGTTAGTCCGTTGGCCTGTATATTATAGATTTTTGCAAGAGTATCTGAGGGCCCGGAAATACAACATCGTTATTTTGGTATATTATACTTTTATGTAAATTACTGGAATTTGATTCTTTGAGAAACATTTGTTTAAAAAACACTGTTACCCTCTGAATGATGAAACCACGCCTTCTAGATAGAATTTAGTAACAGTCAACATTGCTTGACGACGAGTGATATCAACCCCCCCCCCCCCCCCAAGAAAAATACCGCCCAGAATGTATGCGCGAGCGCTTCATCTTTATTTACAGTATTTGTATAAAACACCCAGAATAATATAATAAATACTACATGTAGCAGAGGGTATCATTTGAAAATTTACAATGTTACCCTCAACTATATACATGCAGTATTTATATAATATGATGTCCATGGATACTATAACCAAAGAAGTCACTTTTTTCGTTTATGCGATATAATGAATTACCTTTATAACGGATTAAAATTGTTCGTCCCTGGCTACAAGCATGTTTTACTTTGTAATGCGGAGTACACTGTATCTATTAACAATAGTCACAAGAAGTTCTTCAAAAGCGCGTGTGTCAACACAAACAAGTTATGTGATTTGCTGTTTCATTTTAATAATTTTCCATACATGTTTATTTAATATCTTTCATAAATGAAATTCAATTCAGTAAACACTGTGCCGTGTCAGCATAATGTGCATAACGTAACTAGAAAACGTAATTAAGATAGGTTGCGAGTTTACTGGGAAAAATATTCACGAGAAAACATATCCCAAAATTTTAATTGTTCTAATGTTCAGTGCATTTTGAGACATAACGGTATTATCTGTATTATTTATTTAGGTTGCCTATCTAGGTTAATTGAAATATTACTATAAACGCGGTGTAGTTTGTTGTGCATTTTTTTTTATTATTGTTTTACTGTGGAAATGCGTATTTAGAAAAATAGCGCTTTCTACATTTTTTTCGAATGGAGATATGATTTTAAAAATCAGATAATTTTTTTTATAAGGACTTAAAGGAATTATTCAAGAATATTTAAATGTTAAGACGAGGTAAAATTAAATTAAACCTATTGATATATTAAAAAATTAATATGTCTTCGGTGAAAATTTAAACGGACGAGGAGCAATGCAGTTACATTGTGTATTCCAAAACGGGAGGTCATTACTGCTACATTGCGAAAAATTTCAACTCATTACCGCTACATTTCTTTGAAATTTCGGGTGATCATTACCGCTACATTTTATCTATAAAACTATTGGCGATTACAACTCATTACCGCTACATATTCAAATCTGCCAGCAATGGCACGAAATATGCATGAGTTCTATTCAGGCCGGAAGGAGAGTAACAACACGAGTCAGAAAAAAAACTGTACGCAAAATATGAAAATGATGAGATTTCCAGACAGCACTAAGCACAGACGTCTGAAAGGAACTATTTGACAAGAAAAAAGTCTGTCGAAGCGAACGATATAATTTTAAAGTAGGTTAATGATTGATATATGAACAAAATACGAGCTTGAAGCGGGGGTGCTTGAAATGGAGTTAGGCACCTTGTGGTAAAAATAAGTATGGGTGCCCCGTATACGAAACAAGTGCCTGTGAGCACTAGGCCCACGTCAAGCAAATGGCCTTCATAGATCTATCAATTCTGTGAAGACTGTGTGTTTTATCCACAGGTACTTCGGGACAGGACCCCCCCCCCCCCCCCCCGATATTCAACCCAGGGGCTTGTTGGACATTTTTTTTCACAAATTAGATTTATTGCACTTATTCATCATGTGTACCATAGGAAAAAATCGTGAAAACCCCAAAATAATCGTTCCACACAAAAATACCCCACTATACATTATAATGTATAGTGGGTTTTTTTTTTTTTTTTGAGGGGGGGGGGGGTACTGTCCACAAGTACCTGTGGTTTTATCCATGAACAATTTCTCTGTTTTAATATTTTCGAAAACGTTTTATTACGTAGATTTTATATTCTAGTAAAAAAGTGAGAAAAAAATCTGCTGAAAGTCCTACATTCACTTCCCTCGTGGTGAGCAGAAAAAAAGTCTTATACATGTGTTTGTTGTACTTTTAATCAATATGTTCATGAAAAAGCTGCTGGCTATAACAAACGAGGCAATGTAGCGGTAATAATCTTTTTTATAGCGGTAATGAGTATGTAGTTGTAATGAAAATTTTGAAAATGTAGCGGTAATGATACGCACCCTCCGAAACATATGACTCGATCTACACCCCACCCCATTTGGTCGACTTATTTCAATACAAACCCCTTTTGATAATTTTTTATTTGTAACAACTTTAAAGATTAAAACGTTTTTATTTTATTTTATTATTTACGGATTTGAATTTAATATTCCAA